AATAACTGGGTAATTATATTTCATAATATATATACATTTGTGAGGCATAGGGCTTTATGTGTTTGAAGTACTTGGGAGTCATTAGCTAATGCTCACAGCATCTCTATTGAATAGGTAAGACTATTACAAGGGCAGATGGTCCTCAAGGCCACATAAAACACTGCAGCCCAAGAAAGAAATAAAGGTTAGTACCTTCCCATTTCCAAATTGCATGTTCAAGTCTCCAAACATTGTATTAGATATATAAAACTACAGGAACAGTGCTTTTAACAGTATGTTCTAACCCTCCATCTCTTGATTTTATTGACCTCCTAAACTAATACATGGAGTAATGCTATGACACTCTACCTAATCTGTCAAGATCAGCAACATTAGCCTCTACAGTTCTTACAAGGTCTTGACCTTATTTACTGAGCTAGACCTACTGAAATTAAATTGCTGCATGAAAAGTACATTTCATTTAAAATTACTGTGAAGGGGAAGTGGTACTACTTCTTTCAAAGTTTACCTTTATTTAACAGATCAATGGCATTATGGTTAGGCAGTAAAGTCCATGGAGAAGCAGGGACTAAGTGCTTGCTCTGCCAAGTCCAGTCCTTGCTGTTAAAAGAATGCTTTATGAAAGGGTCCACTTAAGAAACCAATAGCAGGACAGCATAAATAAAATTTATGAAAGAACTCCCAGACTATTTAGAGTCCATTCTGTCCATTTTTATGTGCAGAAGGAAAGAATATCTGTCTGCCACAGATGAATAGCCTTTTACAAGAGATTTCTTGGGCCCATTACCTGCCCATAGCTTTTCTCTCCTTGACCTTGCATGTCTGACAAAAGCATCTTGGAAGCACATGTAGCTGCTGTGATAGCAATGCAGACTCCAACCAGTTCAGTCTTATTCACAAATAAATCTCATGCATGACAGACCTGGAGGAGAAGCTGATTCCTATCTCATCCAGAAGCTTTCCGGTGACATGTTATGTGTTCTTATTATGTTTTTCATGGATTTGGGAAAGTGATTGGCAAGGCAAATGTAAAAGACATGGTTAGGTTAGAAATTTGTGGAAGGAAACTATATGTTCAAAGTCTGACCTCTTGTCTGGATTAATTTTGTCCTGAGTTTTGGACACCATCAGGCATGGTGGACTTCCTTGCTCCTAGGGATTGTCACTGTACCTTGATGATTAGTCAAAACCTCTGAGTAATGGACAAAGGGGAAAACAGAAGGATTTCACCTCATAGCCTATCACAATTATATATTGCTATATTTCAGAATTGGATGGCCAGATGCAAAATCTCACACCAGGCCTTTTAATTTTGACAACTTCTGATCAAGACTAATAAAAAAAACAACCTAGGAAAATGCAAATTCTACTGAACTGCTAATATGTGTGTTTTGAATTGCAAAAGGAAAAACCTTACCTCCAAAAAGACCAAGTTTCTTTTTTTCTTTTTTTTTTTGGCAAAAAACCATGCAAATTTCAGAGGGACAAAATATCTGACGCAAAAGAGAGTCTTGTGAAGTCAGCAATATAAAAAACAAAAGTTTCTTGAAAAAACCAAACAACCAACAAACACAAATTCTGTGTTTCACTATAAAATTAAGTGCAAGGTACAGAGAAGGCAGAAATCACAGATCTGTTACTTTCATTTTTTTAAACTTGCCTCATTCCAGAGAAGTTCTGGTCACCTTGCCACCTAGGCTCATCTCAAAGACTTAGACATGAAGAGAAGTAGAACCACAATTTTTGCAGAGTATGATGGTTGCATGTGGAAGGATCGAGGACCTATGCAGGCAATGATATACAGAGCAAAAGCAGATCATTAGCCTTGTAATTGAAAAGAAAAATGGAATAATGGTATTATAAAAGACAACTTTGTAAGATACACACATCCTCTACATTTACAAATGCTTATTTAAATGCCATCTATGTTATGGCATCATTTTATGGCTTGCCAATGCAGCTTACTGATCATATAAATGCCTTCAAAGGAATCTGATCATTTGCAAAAATCAATAATTACCAATATTCTGCAATTGAAAAGGGCTGGATAATAACCATTCCCTAGTACTTCCTGTAGAAGGGAAACAGGACATTTAGAATTTCTAAAAATGTACATCCAAATTATTTGTTAAACTGCTTGGTAGCATTAGAAGCCCAGATATTAGATTTCTTCTAATTTATTATTACTCAGCTCAAGAAAAATTAATAATAATAAAAAATTTAAAAAGCACAAGAATTGAAAATAGCAGGAGATGATTGAGTTTTTCTACATGTATCTTGCAGCTATTTTTGAAGGGCAAGTTAGGGTCTGAATATTGAAACTCCATCATTGAACTTTGTGGCTGTGGTGCACACTGAGAAATAATATCTTAGTATCTAGCCAGAGTGCCCTGCTCAGAGACATGAGAATAAGGCAAATCATATACAACTGCTATTAGTCACCACAGTGGCACCATTTACAAGTTTAAGCACTTTGGGTCTGGGGAATTTTTTTTCAGACTATTGTATTTCCAGAAGAAGTAGATGTTTTTGTAAAAAAATGACAGTATTCCAATACAAAAGCCTTTACAGAGATGTTAATGAGAAGTTTAATGAAGGGCTCTCAGCTAAAAGACATTATTTTTAACTTTATGACATAGCTGCTTGATCAAAGATCCTTAGTTCTATAGTGTGGAGTGTTTTTGGAAGAACTTTTATTTCATGGATCTTATAACACAGGTACCACAAGAAGCACCAATAATGAAACTTGCAGCACTGCATCATAACAGATTGATTTTTCATATTTATTTAATCCTATTCTTTTGCATCTTTGCTTCTTCATAAGGACTAATTAAAAGCATAAGAGTAACCAGTCAGCTTTTCCAACAGAAAATCATCAGTGAAGTCCCTCAAAGATATAAGCGAGAGACAGTCAGTAGAAGAGCTGGCAAAAGAAATATTTAAATAACAGTTTTCAAATAATATAATGCTATTAGAAAAAATATATGCTGGAGAGAATTGCAGAGGAGTATGATGATACTGACTGACTGACAAAATGTCAGGTACAATTCAGTAGTTAGAACTGTAAAGACATGCTAACAATATATACTCAGTAGTGGCTTTTGAACTGGCTCTTACCACTCAGAAGGAATATCTGAGCTCTCCAAAACCATCAGCACAGATCCCAACAGTGATGAAGTCAGGAGAGGTTGTCAAGTGTGTGGGACAGCTTCTTCAGAGGGAGATAAAATAGGCTGTGGGTGTTTGATATGAAAGGAGCAAGTGAAGGGAATGCCTGAGATCACAGAGCAGGGAGGTGAACACAGAATTATTGTTTAACCCTTTTGGTAACACTGGACCTAGAAAGCACCATAGGTAAACCACTGGATAGCAGGTTTGAAACAAATATCAGGTGCATAGTTGAGCTGTGCAGGTCATTATTTCATGAATGCAAAAGAAGTTTAGACATTCATAGAAAGCTGTTAAACATGTTCGTAGAATAAAAATCCACTGAACTATTAAAGTATCTTCTTGTCAGAGAGTCCCTAACAACATCATGAAGGGATGAGTGAGTCAATCAAGAAACTCTGAGTATATATTTGCCCTGTTCTTTTGCCCTTCCTTAGCTCCATTGCTGGAAATAAGATAAAAGGCTGGAAATGCTCTTGGTCTCAAGCAGAAAAAATGTTCTCATGTTGAAGGGTACTTTCTGTTGTTCTGCTTTGTAATCTGTATGATATGCAAAGCCCACTTGTGAATATGTGTGGTAGCTGATGGCAGTTGCTGTGACCACAGTGGGGAGATGCTCAGAGCAGGGCCACTTCTTCCCAGTCACAGCTTCCTCATTGTGCCCCTTGCTGCCAATGAACCTGAGAAGAGAGAGGGGAGTTCAGACTGTCTGTGTTTCTTACTTGATTCCAGAAAATTTGTACCAAGAAATAGTAAAATTATTTTTGTGAAATGGGGAGGCCAATATTTTATGATTTGGCTATATTTTTTCCCCCTGTCCTGATTTAATTTAACCAGGCAGTCCAATTTCAGCAATCTTCATCACTTCTTAGCTCCCTGTTTTCTGTTGATGTTTATTCATATTCTCCTGCTTGTAAAATTCACCAGTTTCCTCTCCTTAATGTGTTGATACCAATGTTCAGGGACGATATATAAAAAAAACAAACCTAGAGGGAAACACGGTCATTTACTCCTTCTTGTCTTGTTTGTTTGCTTCAGAATTACTTGCACTGACACAAATAGACTTTCCTTGTGCACAGCAAGAGATAAGGTTGGGGTTTTCTGCTTTATTTGTTCTGTACCACACATATTTCCCCCACCCACTCCCTCACTTGCTTTTGTACATGCTCACACACAGATGTACTTGCATACTACAAGGTTTCAGAGAATTTCACTCAGCTTAGGAGAATGTGACCAATGTCTGGGATGAAAAGTTTATATTTTCAGCATCACAAGTCATTTCCACTAATCTTACCATCACAGGTGGGTGTTTCTGGGAAGGGTGCTAAAGCACCTAACACTCAGCACTTAAGACACTGAAATACAATTAGTGAAAGCAGTGCTGTGAAAACATGGGGCGTGCCATGTTGTGACAAACTATTTGCTGCCTGCTAGGTTTAGCTCCATGTTCAAAAGTAGAGAAGTGATTTAGCTAATAATGATGCAGTTGTCTGTGTTTATCTGCTTATTTCTTGCTGGAAAATGTTGGTATGGCTCATAGCTCTGCCTCATTGCTGTATCTTTGACTACTACTTCTCATATGGGAAGCTGCACACAGATAATTTGGGTGATTTTATGAATAAAGGGATTTTTCTGAGCTTGCTGCATTTTGCTCATGCATTCTCCCAAAGCCGTGTGTCTCTGCTGATAGATAAGTGCATCTGCAAGTTTCAAGATGTGTGGTTTCTGTGGGTGGAGTGGGATGAGTGTGGTGGGTTGAAAGAGGAGAAGAAGAAACGGTCTCCAGCATCAATAAAGTTTCTGGTGCCTCATGAATATCTGTTCTCTTGCAGGTTCTGCTTTTTAAACACTGACCCCAGGAGAAGCTCTGCAGCATGAGAAGGTTATTATGGGACTGGACACTTTGAGTGCCTTGGGGTAAATTGTTACAGTATCTCAGTTATCAGTTAAGTCCTTGTGTTCTGGTGAAAACAGTGGAGCTTGTTCTCACTGGTGTAGTATCTGAGCCATCGAGTTTAATGAATCGTTACAAATAGTTTAATCTGCACTTGCAGGTGCTATTAAAATGGATTTTTTGGTGGTTTTTGTATTTTTTTTTCCAAGAGAATTTTCTTACCTTGGAAGAACAGTCTTTCTCAGGCACAATGGTTTAAATATGGAATAGTGGGATAGGTTTTGCTCATTAGAAAGCCTGATGCTGAATTCAATATTCCCTTCTGCTAAACTTACCTCCTCCAGGATTTCAGACTCTAAGTTGCAGAGGATAAAACATAAGGCCCTGGTTAATTGCAAATAAATAGTGCCAGAAAAACATACAGATGGTACCTGAAGTTCATTTCTGAAGACTATCCAGTAAACTATATATAATTTACATGAAAAGTATGTAGAATAAGGAGGGGAATAATTTTTTTTTTGTGTTTTCTTACATTTGTAAAACAAGAAAACAGCAAAAAAAGAAATAATAAATGAATACCCTCTGTCAGTGAAACTTCTTGTCTGGGAAAAGAGCAACCTGTATTTCTGTTTATTTACCTTAATCAAATTAATTAATTTTACAAGTTTGAAAAATTCAGCATTCTACAGGATACAGGTACAAATATCTGGCAAGTAGAGTGTATATATTAAACTACATCTACTAGGCTAGTAAATATTTTGCTGCATTAGTTTGCTCATTCCCAAGCAATCAGTTGTGAACTCCAGTGTTGTAACGGGTCCACAGGGAACATTTGTGCTTTGGTTGGCACTTAGATTAAATTCATCAAATTATTTTTTTCCCTGTTCAAGGCTGACATTTCAGAATTTTTTTTAAAAAGGTTGTGTGCCAACTGCCAAAGTCAATTAATTAAATGGTAAATCTGAAATTTGTAGGGGAAAACTATCATTCCCTTTTGCTGTGCGACCTTGGAAATGTGAACATTTAATCCACAAAACACATGGTTTACCAGAGGGTCCTGATCTGCTTGCACTGAAAGTAAAAAGCAAAGCTTACTGCTATGTTTTTGGAGATTAGGGATTACCTCAAGGATGGCATTTTACCCTGCATTTTTCTTCTGATTTTGATACTTGGTAGTAATGACAATATCCTTTAAGTCCTGTTATGCTTGAGAGCTTAAAGTATTCAGCACTTAGTAGGAGGAAGCAGTGCAAATTTTTGGACTCATTTTCCATATACTTGAGAGACTGCAGATGAGGGTAGGATGTACAGTTCTAGAATTTTCTGGCCAAAGAGCTCCATCTTAGATCTGTAAAGGAAATCTTAGAGGCAAAATTCAACAGACTTGAGCAGATGGTGATCATATTCCTACATAGCAGAAGTTATACAAATCTCTTCCCAAAACCTACACCTTACAAGGAATGTATGTACCCTCACATTGTCAGTAAAGGCAGTCTGATTTCAAAGACTGCATTGGATCTTGCTCTTCTGGCTCCTACACTGTATATCTCTTTTTTGTACATCTCAGTGGACTTCTCATCTCTTATTTGAAGCATTGTCATCTCAAGGTGCTTGAAAATGAGTGCAATGCACTGACTGTTCCTCAGGTGTTAATTCTCTGTCATTAGTTTATATTGACTTGTTTTTGTTTATTTGTTCCCTGGCCGAAAACTGGTGCAGATGAGAACCTTGTATTTGGGGCCCTGTATATGCATGGACTAGAAACACAGCCCAAAACCAATGTAAAAGACAGTAAAAACAGTGAATAGAATAGATAGGTTTAGGCAGACCAGATACATGACCTAGTACCCTCTTCCTTTACCATTTGAAATTCTTTCATTCTGTGTTTTGCTATGATTCAGGATTTTTTTTCAGCCTTCTCACTCCCCATTTTTTAATAAAATTACGTGTTATTTCTTTAGGAAGATAAAAGATGCCTAAATAGATTTGCTTCCTGCACATTGAGAAATTTGTTAAGATTTGGTCCTTAATTTGACAGCTTGGCATGAGGGGGCTACAGTTTAAGGAAAGACACTGATTAGCCCTCAGTAGTAGGGAAAATGGTGGAAACTGCTAGTGCCAAGGGTGTTTCCTAAATACTGGCCTTGTGGGTGTATAGGCACTATGCATATCAAGATACAGGAATATCATATAAGATATAGGTAATTCTTAGGATTCATAATCTTGTGCCTTCTCCTACCCCTTTGCTTTATATAGTGAATATATACCAGTTATTTCTGTCAAAGCATGAAGTGTAGTTCTTGGAATAGTCCTGCCTGTCCAGATACAGGCCATTTTGCAGAAAGGAAATCTAATGTTTTCCTATGGAAAATGTTCCTCCTTGTGAAAGAGACTTACAGAGATGGTGGCCCAGAGGGACCAAGTCACCTATGTATGAGCAGAAGTGGGAGTTCTTCAACTCTGCTTATCTGAAATATGATTACTGTATTTAATCTTGGGGATATTTGATGTAAAACATAAGCAAGAATGCCTTCAGGAAGAAGATAAATTAAGGATGCCAAGCTGTGGATAATGCTTGGAGTCAAAGCTATTTTTGATTCCTGGGTTCTTTATACTGTAAAATAGAAGCATTTTTATCTATGTCTAGAAGGAGAATCACTGTGATGACTAGGGAAACTTTAGTCTTAATACTTGAAGAACTTCAGATGGTGCAAAGGCTAAGCATTAGATGAGGGAAAATTTAGAATACTGAATTAAATATTATCTGAGGTATCTAAGTGTTTGATTTGGTCTAAAACTCAGCTAGTGTGTGTCTAAATTTCCTTGCTGGAGGATGGATTTGTTGATCTTTATCACAGAACAATGTGATAATGTGAAATGTCAAGTGATCACTTATTGCAGTAATAACTGTACCATGTGTGGACTTACAGAGATAGAACTGTGTTTTAAATGTCTTGTAAAATTTGGCAGAGGACCAATCTGTGAATGCTTCTAGATGATCACTAGATTACCAAGTTTTCCTTAACCAATGGTGGTTATCTATATAGTTTCTGTGCAAAATGCCTGTATCTCCCTGTGATATGTGGATCCAGTTTTACAGGAGATAATGAAACGTGAAAGAACAAAACATTGTAGTTTTTTTCCCCTAATGTCGTATCTCAGCATTGTCTCCATCAGTAGCCTTGTCCGCAGGAAGTGTAAAGTTTCCTGCTATGATTGTTTGACTGCTGCCAATTATCAGATCTGCTTTTGGCAGCTTTCCCTCCCAACCTGCTGATTAGCTAATGTGTGGTTACTAATACAATATAGGAAACTGGTGTAAATGAAGGAGCAAAAGATTTATTAATTTCATTTGCTAATTACTGTTTCTAATATAATTATCAGTAATGCAAAAAGAAATCCTGGCTTAAGAAATAGCCAGGTTTCTATGTTTTGTGAAATGGGGCACAAGAATTTTGTGCAGGAAACAGGTATATTTTCCCCTTGAGGCATGCACATAATTTTCATTAGATTCATAGGTTTCAAAGGCAGAAGAGAGATCATTAGAGCTTGGAGTCTAACTACCTGTAAAACACAGGCTAGAGGATTTCATCCAGGTACCCTTTGCCTGAGTTAATAGAAAACAGGAGCCAGATCCTGAATTGGATGTACAGCAGTTTTACTCCACTAAGCTGGAATAATGGTGATTTATACCAGCTGAGAAATTGGCAGTAGACTTAAATGACAATGAATTCTTTTTTGCATAAACCTAAATGAAAATGGTCACTTATATTTTAATAGCTGTGTTGAAACAGCCTTGCTGGGAGTCAGTTTTTGGAAAGTATTTTAAGCTTTAGAAGAAAATGAAGGCTTTTCCAAACCTTTATGGGATGATTGTGTTCCCTGTTGCAATTTAAACTTGTCCCTTCACTGAAGAAAAGGCATAAATTTAGCAGGAAAAAAATTTCTCTTTAAATTGAAACATGTGCCAAGAGTCTTATTTGTAATTAAATAATTCACTAGGATTTTAGTGGGGGAAAGGAACAACAAAATAATATAATAAAAAACTGAATATTCTCAGAGCCAAGAGAAACTTGAACTCAAATGTTTAAAGATTAAAAGTCTCAAGAGCTAAAAAGTAGTCTCTGATTTCTTTCATTAGGGTGTATATTTGGCAAAACAAGATGTCTCATTACTCTTCTGTAGCCATTTGTATGTGTGTGTGGATGATGCTATTATATTTATAGCAGATACAGTCTTATCATTTAGGTACAGACTGAATCCTACCTGCTCTGAGCTACAGGGTTTAAGAATGCACTCAGACAATATTGACATAGACAATGCCATAACATCCTGTAATCTGCACAGAAACTGAGACTTTGTGCGCACCAAAGATGAATAAAAGAACTTCCTTCCTGCTCCCCTAAAATGAGAGTGTTTAAAGGAAAATACAAGTGTGGGGAGAATATCCTCCAGATTCCCAATAAATTTCTGTCAGTTCTGTCTCAGGAGGAGGTGGTGGAGGCTTTTGTGTTTGGTGATACAGAAATCTGTGGCTACCACAACAACATGTAGAATATGTAGAAAGACAACTTATTTGAGCAGCTGCTTATGTGGATGGTAAGCAGAGAGAATCTTGTCTCATAATATTCCTATTCTCATTTATAATAAATCAGCTGCTGGTTTGGCTGATGAACAGATTGAGGTACTTTATATTTGATGAAAAAACCCTAAACAGAATACACATTTTATACATTTCCCATATTTTTTCCCTTAGTGTTTTTCTCCTTCAGAGATGGACATGCCCTGTCACATGGAGAATAAACCTGATAATTTACTTCACAGGTAAACATCAGAAGACATGGTCTGAACCAAATAATTCCCAGCTTTCTCTCTCTCTTTGCTTTAAGTAGAATTAGAACACCCAATCTTTCCTTGAAGAGCAGGGTTTCTTTTTGTCCCTTATCCAGAAGGATTTAAGCATTCCCCATCCTTGAGGATCCTCAGGTAACTCCATAGTTCCACTAAGTATTTGAAAACATCA